TATTTTTAATACATTACGCGAGTAAATCTTACAAAATAATAATCAGAAAATACACAGTCGCTGATATACTTACAGATAATAAACATTTTGTTGTAATTACTGAAGATTTCACTAAGAACTTAGAATAAATGACATATCTCCTGTAATACATATCCCATTCGCTCGCTGGATCCTAAATAAAAGTTATGGTGCATTTTATAAATGCGAATATGTTTGCATTATGAGAAAGCGAGATAAAATATGCAGACAAAAATAAAGAGAACAAAATAATATATTTTGCAGAATAATAAATACTGTGAAACATTGCGTGAAGCTGAAAAGTTTACGGAGTGCAAGCAATCATTGATAGTTTATTTGAGATAATATAAAATCCTAATATATAGTGCTATGTGAACACGTAAATATTGCCGAACAGTTTTTACTGATTGGCAGTTAAAGAGCAATGCTGTGCGTTTAGAAGTCACGGGCAGTTTGCTAAAGAATCACCCCAAGAATTTGATCTAATGATCAGATTTTTAAGTACTAGGGCTTAAGGGAATGACCTCAAATATGCTAATTAGTTAGTGCAGACGATATTTTAAGCAACACAAAAACGTACTTTCTTTGAATATATCTTTTTTACGGCTGATTATGATTCTTGACCCCCAAAATATGTGGGATAGTTGCGATCTTGGAAATATGGTTCTATAGTTTGGATAACGAGCGAAAGTTTAAATTCCTATATAAGTAGTTAATTTTAAATCATTTTAAAGAATGTAATTTTATGTGACGAAATACAAATATTTGAACGAAATCGGTAAACAGTTCCTAAGAAATCGAATTTTAAAAAAATCAGATATTTAAAATTTGAATTCTTGGGAACTATTTGAGTAATTTCATTGAAATTCTGGTTTTTGCCTTATAAAATTATATTTTTCAAAATGATGTATATTTTATCATTCAAAATTTTTTCGACTATATTATTATTGTACTATTATTAAATAAAATAATAAGAAATAATGTATAATTATTAAAAAAATGTCTATGTATGGAAATTGCATAATTGTGCGCGAATTTTTTTTTAATTCGCTTATAAAGTTCTCGAGATATGACAAAATGCGCAAAAAGTTAAATTAACATTAAGGGAATCCGAAGTTTCCACCGTTCTTCTGACCAAGCAATAGGACCATATTTCTCAGATTGTGGTTACCCCCCATATTTTTGGGGTCAGAAATCCAAATCTGTCAACAACAAAAAAAGCTGTGGCTGATTTCTTAACTTAAAATATAGTCTGCATTATCTTATTAGCACATTGAGGGTCACCTGCTCGACCATTAAAACTGAGTCCTAAGACGTGAAGATCTGATCATTAGATCAAAAATTATTTTGGATTCTTTTTTTTTTGCATCGTGCGCTGTACATTTCCTTAAAAATAGTCATTAAGTGTGCTTAAAAAAACATTTTAGCATTCGAGTAGGGGAAAAAATATTCAACTATTTTAAAAGTATACACCGAAAACAAAGAAAAACTGTTTTATATCACAGATAAAAATACAAACACATTATCTCTAAAAGAAACTTTTTACGCAATTCTCAAAGCACAGTAAACAGGAACAGACACTAAGTGAGTGAACAAAATAAAAACAGGATGGAAGGGAAAAAAATAGCTCTTTCAAATTTTTCAGGTTTTTAAAAAACATTGACAAGCCTTCTTGTTTACTTATTTATTTCTTAGAGACCTTAAAACAAAGGAGCGAAAGACGGAATGATCCATTTTTTGGGAAAAAGGGGGGTGATAAAGCTAGGTGGCAAGTGTAATCAAAGTCACTGATTCCTTTACTGACAACTATGGTGATGAAGATACATGCGATTTTGATATCGGGGGATTCCGGGCGCGTGAGTCCAGGATTAACTCCCGGACTGCTCCGGTAATCTCTCGGAATTATGGGAAGGCCGTGTCTAGCATATTTTCCATTTCCAGGCTTTTTTTTTCTTGTTATTATAGAACTTCTTACTTTTTTTCCCCTTCTTCTTTTCTCTTAAGAACTATGCCTTAAGAATATATTACGTGTTAGTACTACTGTCGGAAGGGGACTTTCGATACTGTGACAATCTATGACAGATAAATCGACGTGTGGTGTAATGGCTCGACTTCTAGCACGGGTGCCCTAAGGGGGAAATATGATTTATTACTTTCAAAAATCGATAATATTTTTTTCATTATTGCACTTTCTTTTTTTAAAGAACTTTCAAATCCTTGATACTTGGCACAGGATTTATGGAAGAGGATTATTTGGTTTGAATTTAGATAAATGGTTTAAAGACTGTCTGTTTCTGAATACAGAGCCGTAATTTATGATAGTAAAGATTTTAAAGTAGTATATTGCCAACTAAGCGGATATAATTATTCCCGAAAACCTACCTTTATATCGAAGAATGATAACGGTTTTAACATTATTGAATCGGTAAAGGTTTTGTTTTTGTTTCGTGCTCAAAATTATCGATTTTGCAATTTATTTAAACTGGTATTGTTTAGATTTACTCTTTTTTTAAATATATAACTATTCAAATATTTAATCAAAAATATACTTACTTGCAATTATTAACTACTAGACGACTTTTTTCCGCCTTTTCTAGATAAGTAAAATTTGAAGTTTCTCGAGATTTGAAATCGCTCTTTCAAATTAAGACAAACTGACTGACCTTGCATCAGAAAGGTTCTGGGTTCGAATCTCGGGCAAGGCATGGATGTTCTATAATTCTCTGTACTATCTATCCTTACTGTGAAAGCAACGTTAGCCCACCTAATATGGTGCCCCTAAAAGAGTGGCCAACGAATCTGCCCTTCAGATGCCAGTTCCACGCAGTTCATTCCCCAGGCAGGCATTGGAAAAAAATTCAATACAATATTTAAGTGTTAAGTATAAACTCATATTTTTCAAGTGAGAGTGAATTTAATTTTTACCTCGTACATCTTCGCATCCTCAGGTTTTGAACCTTCAGATAAATCTTTCTGATTCGTCGCAGATGGGTACTGTAATGAAATTGCTTTTAAAATATTCAGTAAAACATGTGCTAATATTTTAAATAAATATGCTAATTATCTCAGTTACGCATTTAATGGATAATAAAAAGTAAGGAACTTTGATAAATCACACTGCACTTATTCACTGTTATTAATTATCTTTGTGTTAGCAATTAAAATACTCTATAGTAAGTCAATACATTTTATTTGTAAGGATTTTCCTCGCGTCAAAATAAAACGAAATTGAACTGTTATAATCTTCCTTAAGTTGAAAGAAAACACAGATTTAAAATAGTAAATATATAGTTTAAAGCAAAAGAATAAATTTTAAAAAATAATGTATCTTATTAGCTCTCTTGGAGAACTAGGACACCATAACTAAGTAAATGCATATTTACACTAAAAAGTTTAAAATCAGTCTTTGCATTCATATGATAAGTTTAAATGGTAATTAAAAATCAGTCAGTTTTATCAGTTAAATCAGTTTTATCTAATTTTTTAAACCTAGATGAAGTATTTTTTTGCTATTACTGTTTTTTTTCTTTTCAAAACATTTAAACCTAGGATTTATGACCTAACTGATCAAATTCTTAAATGAAGTAACACAAACATATAATTTGTGTACGTTAAATGTATCCAGCATCTGTTGGTGTCTAAACTCTTGTCAATAAAAATTTAGATTATTTTTATACATTTTGATATTTTCATTTAAAGGAGATTGATATACCGCTTGATAGTTAAAAATTTGTGTTTAAAAAATTTCAAATATAGCATTTATTATTAATATTGGCCAGCAAAAAGTTTTAGCCTCAGAGTTTAATAAATTTAAACGTCTTGAAATTGAAACGTTATTTGGACAAATAAGAATAAGCATTTTTATGTTTAAAATACTTTCGAATGGTTAAATATAGTATTTCTTTATTTTTTGATAGCTAATATTAGCCTGCATATTTATTTCTAGCACGCGTTATTTGCTTCAAGATTTTAAACTATGAACTTAGCAGCATTTTCTTCCTTTTCGAGATATCATCTGCATCAATTTTCTTAAACTTTTTATACCTATGATGTTTCCATGACAACTTAACGTTGAAACAATGAAAAAATACGTTTTTTCGAAACTGCATGCGCACAACTCAACGTAGAAGAGTAGAAAATAGCGCAAAAAATATTAGCAATCTGTAACAAAAAACACTGTAGCAATAAAAAAAAATCCATAAATTTAGAAGATTCTGTCTATTTTTTGACTTTTTTTCATTTCAGTTTGTTCGAATTAGTGAAAGATTTGTCCGATTTTCGAAATTATTCTTTTGAGATTCCTTTTTCAGCTTTCGAACAAATAAAAGTAAAGAAAGGAAGTAAATGAAGAAAAAAAATTTAAAAAGAAATTATTTCCATCAGAAATTTATTACACTTTAAAACTGATTTAAAAAGTGATTGAAAAAGAAATAAATATAAGTGTGTTAACTATAAAAATAAAATGAAGAGTTTGTCTGCGTGTCTGTTTCTCTTATAACTCCAGAGCCGTTTGTAAAAAATCCTAAAACTTGGTCAGTATAATTTAGCCTCCAATCCTATAAGTATAAGACAGTATAATTTAGTCTCCAGTCCTATAAGTATAAGACAGTGTAATTTAGCCTCCAATCCTATAAGACAGTATAATGTAGCCTCCAATCCTATAAGTATAAGACAGTATAATTTAGCATCTCCAATCCAAGCCAGTATAATTTAGCCTCCAGTCCTATAATTATAAGACAGTATAATTTAGCCTCCAATCCTAAAAAAAATTTCTAAAAAAAGGCGGTTGAAAAAGGAAATTTTCTCATTGGCTTAGAATTCGTTATTTATAATAAATAAAACTGCAGACGATTTTTTTTTAAATATTTTATTGATAACCTCATTGATTTTTGTTAGCTTATTACTCTCATTAATAAAAAAAAGAGCTTTTTTTCCTGGGTCATTGATGTCTTACAATTTTTTCCTTGATAAGTTTGATAAACTTGCTTCGGCAGTACATATACAAAATTTGGAGCGATGCAGAGAAGATTAGCTTGGCCCCTGCCCAAGGATGTCAATGAAAATCGTAATGAGCTCCATATTTTTTGAGACCGGGATATCCTGGTTGGTAGAGCGCTGAACTCATGTTCGAGTCCAAATGACCGAAGAATCACCGTGCTTTAAATTGTGACTGGTGCACTTTAAATTTGTCGGGGTCACAAATTCCTCCAAGTTCCCATAACAAATCACTGATCCAGGAGTTCCCTTATCATCTGGTTTAGGTTCAAAATTACTAGGCAACGTAGTTGAACACTGATAGACGTAAACTCAAATTTGTGTCGGCTGTTCAATGACAGTTATAAAATAAAATGATTAACGCGAGCGTGGTGACATAAGAGGACTACGACGCCTAATTGGTATTCCTAAAGTTTTATGAGACTTCATGTTCACTTTTTTTTAGTTATGCTTAAAAAAGGTGACTCTATAAAACTAAATAATTTCTTTTTAGTTTTTTTAATAGCGGTCACTTGGAACTATTGTCCATTGGCCACAGAAAGTGCCAGAACTGCTAACTCTCTTTTCGTTACCCAGTGGGCACCTGTGGCAAACCCACGTCACACAACCACAAACCCGTTTATAGGGCGGGTCACATTCACACACAAGGGAGAAAGGACATAGAACACAGATAGAGAGAAAGAAACATCCATGCCTTGGCCGGGATTCGAACCCAGAACCTTTCTGATGCAAGGACAGTTCCCTGCCCCCTATACAGGCCGGTCGGCAAACTAAATAATTTAAAATCACCAATTTTTGAAATAAAAATAAATAAATTTTGCAATTAAAGGCAAAATTAATGACTAAATAGTATTAATTCCTTTCGAAAAAAGTTAAAAATTGTCATACTGCTATTGACATCAATGATACTTGATTAATTTCTGTAATTGGTACTACTTGTAATAAAATAAAAAAACTAAGCTCTGCACTAAAAAGCGAAATTGATGGATGAATAGTATAAATAATTTATGAGAGGCATAAAAAATATACATACTATTATGGACGCTAATCATGTTAAATTGAGCCGTGGTGGCTCAGGGGATAGAGCGTTCTCCTTCTATTGTTGGGAACTGGGTTCGAATCCCATTGATGGCAGATTAATTCTAAAGACCTGGATACTTAGATAAAATAGGAACATGCTGCCATCTTGTGACCGCAACTTTCTATGTAGAAATACTGAGTTTCTATGCTTAAACGCAACTTTTTACTGATTAATATTTTCATATTCTTAAAGATAACTTAAATATTTACTATTTTTTCTTTTAATTCTTTTTTCTCTTTCTGAAATTATATATTTTGATTTTCTTCCATTCAGTGACAAAAATGCCTTATCTATAAGTTAAGACTTACTCAAGCAAAGCGTGTAAGAAATATTTTTCTTTTTAACTTTATGCAAATGAAAGTGGAGATATTTAACCAAGTGAAAGAAAAACAAATGATTAAGAAGTAAACCACGTAACTTTAAAAAAAAAATTTATGTTATCAGTACTTTTAAAAACAAAAGCAAAATGTAAGAAAACGAAGTGAATAAACAAAAAATAAAGAATTAAAATTCATTAGAATTTTGCGAATAAAGTTAACAAGTAAATATTTTTAAATAAAAGAATATTAGTTTGAAGTTTATTACAAAAAACATTACAGTAGAAACATCACAAACGATTTATCGTTCATCCAGTAAAGATATGCTTTTTTTTTCATAATGTTAATGTTGATGACCAAATAAAAATTAAAAAATACTTTTGTGACTCGGAACATAATTAGTGAAATTAAACTTTAACTAAGTATTTAACAATTTAAACAATACTGTAAAAAAAATAATATATAGAAAAATCTATACTGTATTTTATGCTTTTTTAAACATAACTAATTTTTTATGCAGATAAAATATTTCGCTAAGAAATATGAAATAATTTTTAAAATCTTTTTGATGTGCTTAAATTGTAATATATTTTTCAGAAAATTTTTGAACTAAAGTAATTATGATTACTAGATTTTAAGTATTACTTGATTAAATGATAGATGTCCTTGCAACTAAATACCCTGATTATTTCTCCACTTCTGTTTATCGTAAACATTTTGCCCCCTAATGTTAATTCTAATTCTCCTAATCTTAATTGTCTGTAAATTTCCGTATTTCATACTTCCGTTTTCAGTGCACTAAACCTTTGCTCTGAGTCTTCTTCTTTTAACACCGAACTTAACTTCCTCAGGTCGTTTGCTGCTAACCATAGATTTAACCCTTCCATAGTTTACTCAGCCCTTGCTGAACTCGCTAGACCTGTTAATAAAATCAAATTTAAGTCTCTTAAAGATCCTATTAGCTTTCGATAATAGCTGAGACATTTATATCGTTCCTTATTTTGACCTTGGCTACATCGAACAAACAAGACGCGCTTTAAAATTTAAATTTAAGAAGCACAATAAATATGTCCCGTATCGAGATATCATAAATTGCTGCATATTGTTGGAATTTTGGGTCTAAATTCAATTTTTACAATGCCAAAATTATTTATCCCTTAGTCTGTCTCATCAGCTTCTCTTAATTCCCTGGAATCATGTTTTATTCGTATGAATGTTGACTCCCTTTTTAACGGCCTTGTCACCACCCCTTCATAGCGCGTGGAAATGCATTTTGCCTCATTTGCCCCTGTCAACCTCAGTGATTTTTCTTGTTGTATTTTTTCCATATTTATTTTTATTCTCTCACAGCTACTGAGATTTTTTTTTTAGTTTTGATTCTCTCCCTTATTTTCCATTTCTCTTTGGCAACTTTCAGATCACTTTTGTTTCTTTTCATTCACGTCTGGCAAGTCTCGAAAATGAGCGTCTATTTTCGAGCGACTGAAACATGTCAATTGCTAATTCCAATCTGTATATTTTTGAAGCGAATGAAATTTTTTAATCTAGTATGTCTTACAGCTTCAGTTTCTTAAAATTTTGTAATTTATTTTATTTTAGATATTAAGTATTATAAAAATCGATAAATGTGATTTTTTTTAAACACCTATGAGTTTGGGCGAAGAATATCATTTTGTATGAATTAAGTCTACATTTACTTAATAGATTAATCAATAGGAATAATGTTTAAATAACGGGTCATAATTACATATTATGATAAACTTTTGAATTGGTATAATGAAATATTACACACTTTCTTGAAAAGTATTTATTTTAACAAACATATAAAAGTTCAATAACTCACAAAAATTTATTCAAATATTACAAAAAATATTAATAACAAAACATAAAAATACATAGACTATTTTTCAGATCTGTTTAATTTTTAAACAATATTTTCATTGATGTCTACAACATTACGCCAATTAGGAATCGTACAAAATAGCAAAAGTAATAAAAATATTTATAAAAAATATGTACTTCACAGAACAAAATCATTTACTTTTTAACATACGTCCATAAGTTAAATAATGCATAAAATTGTCTTCAAAACTTACGGACGAACTAAAATAACAAAACATAAAAATACACACGCATTTAAAAAGATATTATAAAATCTGGAGTAATAAAATGCATTTAAAATAATATTTATAAATACATAAAATACATAAATACTAAATTTTACCTAAACATTAAATATTCAAAGTTTTTTAAGTGAAAAAATCTATAAAAGCTACCTGAAAGATTTTAATTAAAAGACGTTTATGAACTTATCCGTAAGAAATAAACATTTTATAAATAATATTATACGTGAAGAAGTTTAAAAAAACAGTTTAATAAGTCAAAAAACATTTACTTATACTTATGTTATAAAAATACTTATGTAATAGTTTATTCAATATAAAGAATTTTAATTAAGAGAATTTTGTACTCAAAATGCATTTTTTTTATGTAGAAACACTTAATGCATAGTGCTTTATAATTTATTAGTTAAAGCAAGTAAAGTATTAAGTGTCCAAAGTTTTTTTTTTTTGTAAATTAAGTAATTAATAAATCCTTTATGTATTTTTAAAAGAATATTTTATAGTAAATTTTTTCGCGTTTAAAAATTCTCCAAATTTTTTTGGACTCTTATAAACTTTTTATAGCATTTCGATTTTTCTAAAAAAAAATTTCAGTATGCAAAATATTTTTTTAAATTATTTATCGATATTTTAAACTTTCTTTCAAAACTATTCGGAACTTCTGAAAAAAAAATTTTATGACAATCTACCGTAAATCAAGATTTAGAATGTATGTATATTTTAATGACTGCGAAATTGGGCATTGTGAAGTTAATTGTTGTGATTGTTATGTCATCGAAATAAAATTAGCTGGCAAATCAATCATATTATTTGGGGAAGAACAAAACGCAACAAAAACATTCATCAAGAAATATTACCAAATTTTATTTTTATATAAAAGCTCTAAGCAAATCATGTCACAGACAACACGCGTTCTTAAAATTACTTCTTAAAGTAAAAAAAAAGAAAAAAAAATACCAATATTTTAACCACAATCGTGCAAAAAATTCTTTATGCAGACCTTTTCACTACAATAACAAACATTTATATTTCAGAGATACCTTTTTACAAAAAACACGTTTTTTATTTTAAAAAAACTTCATAAACTCGTGAGCAACATGTTCATGACTATCAAAATGTAAAAATAAGCACCATCAAAACAAATACGTCTAACATTACTTGAGTTTTTTTTTCCACTCCTTGAACTGAAGATTCTATAACTACGAAAAGTTAACGAGCTTTTTTTAAAACTTATAATCAAACTAAAGGGGTTTCCAATTCTCTTTCAGGCGCAAGTCACTAAGAAGCCTAAACATTTTTTTTCGACAAATTTACATCTAAGATTTTAACGCAAAACTAAATAAATAAAAGTACCCACCAAAAATCTTGGATATTTAAAAAACGTGAGCATTATTTATCATGTTTGTTTACCAATGCTATTTGCAAAATTTGACTTAGATTGTCATAAAGATATGTTATTTGAATAACACTCTCTCAGCGAGTTATACGCTATATTATAATTGTTGTGGGTGAACTATACTATTATTTATAGCCAGAATTGTCACTGCTGGTTATGAAAATGGAGCAAAA